ATATATATATATATATATATATATATATGCATTCAGCTAAGCTTCATTTTGCTCTTACGAGATCTACAAACCAATGAAGATTCTTTCTTCTGGATAATAGCAGCACCGCTTCAGCAGCGGGCTGACCCACAAAGCTTATGGGAGCTCCCCAAGGAGCTTCAAGTGTCCATCTAGCTGATGGTGAGTGCACAGACTCCGTGTGACATGAGCCTTTCCTGGGAAGCATTTCACCACTGTTTCAGTGCCTCACTGTTGCCTTGATAAACACTGAACAGTTAATTTGCCTAAAACCGTGGGTATCTGTACACGTGCTCCAGGGTGAGAGGGCAGGGGTCAGGCGTTTTAATTAGAACAGCCACTCTAATTAAAGCACCGCAGCGTCATGTGTACTAAGCATCCCACATTTCAAAATGGCCACGAGGGTTGCTCATTTGATCAGCTTTAGTTAAATCGCCCTCCGCGACCATGTTGAAATCTAGGATGCTTAATACATGTGACAGTGAGGCACACTGGCGCGCTCTAGCAAGAACACCCCAGTCGAGTCTGCTCCGACGTGTTCTACTTAGAACGCATCAGAGCACGTGTATAGGCGCCCAATAGGTTTGCATTGATTTTACTTCCTGCCTACCAGAATGAGATAGAGACAGAAAACTTCTCATCGTTTTACCTGCCTTGAAACTGAAATACCTGAGTAAGTGATTGCAACTTTGCCTCGCACTGCAATATCTCTGCCTTCTTTTGCATCTCCTCCTGAAATGAACCTAGTTACTTTTACAGCAATGATCCTCAGTGAATCAGAACAGATTTTCTAGTATCTTCTACTGCAAGTGGCCATTAGGGGGAAGGACTTCCACTCTGATTGCACTAAACTGTGTTAACTCAGGACCAGGTCTATTTGTACTGTGCTGCATTTAGCCTGCAGACCTATAAATATTCATCTTGTATCAGTTGGTGGTGCTGTCAGAGCACCATAGGGCTAGAAGAGGCCTCAGGAGGTCATCTAGTCCAGTGGTTCCCAAACTTTATAGACCGCGGACCGGCAAACTGTGGTCCAGCATACTTCAGTCTGGGACCAGCATACTTCAGTCTGGCATGACTAGCATGCTGTGGACGGGCAGACAACCCTTTTTTGTATCCAGTCTGCAGTATGCCGATCACTTCTGGTCCGGCAGCCAACCCTTTGTGGCCCACTGCCAATCTAGCCCAACCTTTTGCTCAAGGCAGGATCGTCCCTGTCTAAACCTTCCTAGGTAAGTGTTGGTCTGACCTGCTCTTAAAAACTTGCAAAGACGGAGACTCCGCGGTCTTTCCAGGGAATCTCTTCCAAAGCTTGACCACTCTCATAGTGAGGAAATTCTTCTAGATACCCAACCTAAATTTCCCCTCCTGCAATATAAGACCATTTGCTCCTTGTCCTGTCCCTTGTGGCCACAAAAAATAGTCTTCTCCACGTGCCATATAATCACCCTTCAGGTATTTGGAGGCTGTTATCAACACCCGCCCTCCCCAACCTGCACCCTCCTCTCCTCCAGACTAAATAATCCTAGTTCTGTTGTATCTTCTCTCTTAGACAAGGAAGCTAACGGTTGTGTCTCTCGTGCCGCAGGCCACTGACTCCGATTATGAAGATGAGTTGCCAAAGCACTCCTTTGTGAACCACTACATGAGCGACCCTACCTACTACAATTCGTGGAAGCGGCAGCAAAAGGGTGTGAAACACCCGGCGTCCTACAGGTACGAGGAGTGTGCGGCCAGTGAGACAGAACCCTATTTCCAGACTGTCATCACAACACAGAGCTCAGGAGGGGTGTACACCCCCACAGGACAGCCCGCTCCTGGCTCACGGACTCCAGTGACAGGGTTCTCCTCCTTTGTGTGACACCGCGAGGGAGGAAACAGCACAGCCGAAACTCCTGCGGGGATCGGGACGACCCATCACAGTGACTGTGTGTGACCGGTGCCGTGGCCTGTGGGTAAATTTCTCTATCAGGGTAGAGCGGAAGTGAACGTGAATGAGTCTATTTTTTCTGAAGACAATCAACTCTTACAACGCGGAGCTGAACTAGCCGAACTTTTGTTTTAAAAAAAAAAAAAAAAAAATTGCGAAAAGTGACAGTTTTAATCACATGTGAATAGTAGGGGTTTTTTTAACTGCTTTTTGTAACTCTGCTTTACGAAGCAGCTCCCATGTTCTTCTTTTTTCTTTCCTCCCCCCACCCTATTCCCTTCCAAACAAGAAGGTGAATTCCATGGATGCCGTGAGTGACTTTGTGATGTGAGCGGACGAGAAAACACCCCCAAACCTCCCCAGTTTCTCTCCCATCAGGGTTGAGTAGGAATGTGAAAAAGGGAACATTTTTTTCGCATAAAAAAGATGGGAAAATTCTCCGCCCCGTTGCTCATTGCCATTCCACCTCCACTTCAGGAGTACCCGTTGATTAGCTTAGTCTCAGTGGTGTCGCTACTCCTGCCCGTAGGCTCACGACTGGTGTTTTCGATAATGAATATATCTTACTGCTTTCTTATCCTGGTCAGATTGGGCTCGTTGCATTCCTCGGATAGTCTCACTCCAGAGCTGCTGTCAGTGGAGATGGTTTGAAAAAGCTGGAGATGGCATTGGCTGAAGCAGCTGGGAAGTTACTCTGACGCGGGGTCAGTTTGTTGTTGATATTGTAAATTGTTAAAAATAAGGAAAAGCAACAAGAGGGGAAAGCATTCGAACGTAGGATCCAGTGGTTGCAGTTAATGAGCTGGAATCTAGGATCTGATGCTTGCAATTAATGAGCTGGAGAACCTGCTAATGGATTAATTGGATTGTGATTATCACAGCAGTCCTACCCTATCAATAAAGCTCAGCCCCCCCCCGCCGCCCCCAGCCCGGCTGCTCAGACAGGATTCTGCGGTGCTGCACACTGATCCGTGCCCTTAGCTGGGTTTCTTTGAATTTTATCTGCTCTCTTTTTTTAAAACAAACAAACAAAACCCTTTTTAATGCAAAGGCCGATCACACTGAGGGGGTGAGTTTTGGTGTCCACAGGTGCCTTCTACTGATTGCTCAGCTTTGTACATGAGAGAAGCAGCCAGACATCTCCTGAATAAAGTGAAGCAGGTTTTCAGGCGCTAGGGTTGTGAACTCCCTTGTGCACACGCGGAGGCCCACTGTGCGTGCGGCGGCGGTTCTTAGAAAGCAGCGGGGTTTTCTTTGGGTTTTTTCCAGTCTATTTGGTGCTGCCCCTTTTTTTTGGACCCACGGAGCTGCAGCCAGCTCCTTCTCCCCACCCCCAAGGCCTCTTGCGGGTTTTTTTGGCAAGTTGTTTTGCTCAAGTGGAAGCTGTCAGTGATTTAAAGAATCCCAGTCCAGCCTTTGGACTTGGCAACGCTCCCGTCTTTTAGTCGTTCCTGCTCAGGGGGGTTGGAAAGGTTATGCTGGAGCAGCTGTTTGCAGCACGGCCGCTCTCCAGCGGTTCCCCTTGCAGAGGCCTGAGGAACACCCATGAAACTTGGCACCTCTCGCACCCCTCCAGGCAGGTAGGGCACAGCCTTATCTTTGTTATCGGCGCTGTCTGGCCCTCTCCTTGTAGCAAAGGCATGCAACAGCTGTAGCATTGGTATCGCTGCTTCCTGCCAATGGCCGTCCAGGGAGGTGTGAAAGGAAAGTAGGGATTGTTACAGCCGGTGCTTGCCAGTGCCCTTCAGGGCGGGTTCGAAGCAGACCTGGCACGAGCACGGCTGACTAGGTGCGGTGCATCCACAACCCTTCAGTGCCTCCTCCAGGCAGGCAGCCTGAGCACAGCTTGTACCCTCCGGGCTCGGCCGCTTTCCGTGCACACGCTGTGCGGCCTCGGTGCTGGATTCACGTTCCTGTCCAAACCCCCCAGGGAAGAGAGAGATTGCAAACCAAAAACTCCACCGAAGGCTTTTGAAACCGAGATCATTCTCCGCAATTCCTTGGATGGGAAGCGTCTTGAAGAGGCAGGGGCTCAGGCGTGCCCCTTGGGAGAAAGGAGCCTTCCCCCAACTGCACGGGTTGCTCCAAGGAGCAGGGCTTGAACTTACTGTGAAGATGAATGTAGAAGCAGAGAACATGGCGAGATACCACTGCCTTTCTGTGCACTTTGACTGTTCTCTTAAGCCATATGGACATTGCTTTAATTAATGAACTGAAAAGAATTTATTTGCAATTTATTATTTTGGGTTGTTTTTTCTTTTTAGGGAAAATGACATATGTGAGCTTTTATTGGGTTGTTTCTTTGGTTTTGGGTTTTTTTGGTTTTGTTTTTTGGTCTTGTTATTTCCTGTGTGAGATTATGCCTTTTTAGCTATTTTCTTTCCTACAGAATTGTTTATACAGTGTAGCTGCCCTGGCAGTTGAATCCACTGTTGGAATTTTAATGCAGCAGCTCTGAGGATAAAGTTACTGGAAGCATGTCTCAAGGCCCTTCTGGGTAGATCTGTGGCTTGGAAGGGCTCCGATTCAACCACGGGGAAAGCTTCCTCCCAAAGCCATGCCCGAGGAACGCAGGTGCGCCCGTCGCTGAAGCCGCCGTCACTCTGAACACGAGCCCCGAGAGAGCCCTTCGGGGGGTGCTGCTGGCCCCGTGTGTCCCAACTTCCATGCCTAAGGATGCAAGATAAGGGGAATGGACTGCATGGCCACCAAAAAAAAAGCACAAACAGGAGTACAGGTGAAAGGAAGGGGACGCGCGGGGAAGGGAATTCTTCCCTCTTCTTGGGGATTTCTGCCGCAGGAATTGCCAGGAATTCTAGCGAGTTGGCTGAGGTCCCGAACGGGCTGTCTGACAGCTCTCGTCTTCTCTTTGCCTCCCAAATAAAAGTGTCAAATGTGATTCTTTTAGGTACTTTCTGTTCCGTTCTACGCTCCCCGGTCACATAGCCGTCACATTGCTTTTTCTTCTGTTTTGCATGCACATGTATTTAGTTGACTGTATCCACTGAGTGGAAGCACATAGCATTGGCTATCCAATCCCTAATGAAATGGAAAAGCTGTGTATCACCCCCCCCCCGGCCCAAACCATGCGTGAGATTTAAATACACGTTGAAGCTCTGTGTTGCATTGGTTGCCGTTAGCATGCTGTATTTATAAAATATAATTAAGAGTTGGGTTTTCTTTACTCGAGAATAAGGTAAATTGTTATAATCTGGCAAGAAGCACCCAGTCAGTTAACAAGAGAGCCCTGTTTCAGAGCTGTAATCTTTGGGAATCATAACTTCGAGATATGACTTTTAAAGTGTTAGCTGTCATGTTTCACTCCCTCTACCCATCACACCCACCTTGTTCCCATCTTGCTGTTTAGAAGAGCTGAACAGTCTTGAAAATCAAAGCTTCCATTTAAAAACATCTGCCTAGGACTTTTTTTCTTCTTTTTCTTTTCTCCCTAGTGGATCTATTTGAGAAACAAAAACAGGATCATTACCGAGTCCATAGACGAGCACAAAGGGATATTTCATAGAGGAGCTTAATAGAAGCACGTTCCCCTTTGATGTCCTTCAAATATATCCAGGCTCACACAGTGAGACAGTACAGAAAACTATCCACCCACCTCAAGACCCAGACGCACCATGAAGCACTCAGTTAACGTTGTCACCAAAACCCACCGACATCCTCAGACCTAAATCTCAAGTTAGCCGTTTCATTCATTAGCTTTGTTGCAAAAAGGCACAAATGAATAAATCCCCTTGGAGCCTTGTTTTGGGATAATTTTGTATACTTCTAAATGTATATTTTCTTAACCTCGGATTCTGTTTCATAAGCGGTGCTGGCCCCTGCCAAGCCCCAGACGTCATCCCACTGTCTTGAAATCCTCCATGGTTTCTGTCGATTATCCATGCTGTGCTGTGCTGCAGAATTAAGGGAGAGACGGAAGAGGGCACTGTTTCACTTTAATCAATGCCAGCCTCTTGCTTTTTTTCCTTCCTGGCCAGCAGTTGCCAGGTGGAAACACCTTGCCGAACAGCCTGTGGGGAGGGACTGGAGGGTATATGTGATTGGGACCGGGTGAAAAGTTTCATCAACATTTGCTAAATCCAGGTTGCAATCCTGCTTCTGGGAGCAGTTGCTGCCACCTAGGACAAGAAGGAATATTTTTTTAAAAGGCACCTGGGTCTTTGCCCAAGGAGAACTGTGTTTGGCCCTTCCCTGAGTGTTAAAATACAAGCCTGTAACATTTTCCAGGTTGGCTGAGCTCTAATTTGCTTCCAGACTCCCAGGTGATCATCAAAAGCTGCAGCAGTGTCAGGTCAGAGAGAGAAAATCTGCCTTTGGTTCCTTACGCGAAGGTGTAATTTATTATTCTCATCATTGTAACCCAGTGGATTTCTTGAGGGAAGCACAAGGCGCTCCAATATGTTCTTTGGGGTGGAAGCAGAAGTAGCGTTTTATACATCCACTTCAGCCATTTGCTCTTTAGAAATCTTAGTCTGGAACGTGCACTCTGATTTCAGAAAAGGAATGTAATCATGATATGAAAAAAACCCCAAACCTTTGAAAGGCCCACTAGAAATCAGCTAAGTCCCAAAAACCAGAGAGAGAACATGATTGCAAACCCTGCTTGCTTTCTGAGCTCTCCACCGTAGATAGCAAACAACGCATTATGTGCATTACCGGCTAATCTTGGGTGGAGAAAGGCCATTAAGGAATTCCAGATTCTGGAAAGGCACTTTGTGTTGTGGCTGGAATTGCCTTCGGACCTCAGTTTATGCCAGCTTCATGCTAAACGCGTCGCGTGTTCCCAAGACGGGTCTTTTTGCATCAGAGACATCGTTGGTTGGATCAAAGACGTAGTAATGTAACTGGAGATCACTTGAGGAGCAGTCATGCTGCTGCTCTGTCGACCCCACACCCCATATGGGGTTTCCCTCTACTGGTAGCAGAAAGCACCAGTAAACACACTATGGGACAGACAGGGAGGAATCAATTGATTCGGATGGGAAGAGCTTCCATGGACACATCTGGGTAAGGAGTGATTCACACCTTCTCCAAAGTGCCACGGGCACATTTTAGTAATTCCTTGAGGTTAGCCACGATTGCCGGGAGACTCGTGGTTTTCAGTTCACATCTGCT